TCTGACTGTGCCTTTATGGTGGACAACGAGGCCATCTACGACATCTGCCGTCGCAATCTGGACATTGAGCGTCCCACCTACACTAACTTGAACCGTCTGATTGGCCAGATTGTCTCCTCGATCACCGCTTCTCTGCGTTTCGATGGTGCCCTCAACGTGGACCTGACCGAGTTCCAAACCAATTTGGTCCCGTATCCGCGCATTCACTTTCCGCTTGCCACCTATGCTCCAGGTAAATGGACACTACCATTCACCCCATTTGTTTATCAGTGATTTTTACATCTAGTCATTTCGACTGAGAAGGCATATCACGAACAGTTGACTGTCGGTGAGATCACCAACTATTGCTTTGAGCCTCAGAACCAGATGGTAAGCGGAACTAACATTAGTTGTAAACTCGCATTAATTTTTTTATAGGTGAAATGTGACCCTCGCCACGGAAAATATATGGCTGTTTGTCTGCTCTACCGGTATAATTCTAAAAAATCAATTTTTGAAAACTAACTCAATTTTTAACTGCAGTGGTGATGTGGTACCAAAAGACGTAAACGCTGCTATTGCTGCCATTAAAACCAAGCGATCGATTCAGGTAAATATCACTAGATGAAAACAAAGGCTCNAAAACTAACTCAATTTTTAACTGCAGTGGTGATGTGGTACCAAAAGACGTAAACGCTGCTATTGCTGCCATTAAAACCAAGCGATCGATTCAGGTAAATATCACTAGATGAAAACAAAGGCTCTCATGTATCTCAAAAAATGCTTTTTGTAAAGTATTGCACTTAGAAACTTGATTGTGGTTTAAAACAATTGTATAAAACCACAATCAAGCTTTAAAGTGCAATACCTTGTGAAGAACTATTTTTTGTTAATATGTGAAAAAACTACATTGTTTGTTAAAAACTAAAACTAACGAACGACGCCCCCTTTTTCACCACTNTCTCAAAAAATGCTTTTTGTAAAGTATTGCACTTAGAAACTTGATTGTGGCTTAAAACAATTGTATAAAACCACAATCAAGCTTTACCTTGTGNAGGTAAATATCACTAGATGAAAACAAAGGCTCTCATGTATCTCAAAAAATGCTTTTTGTAAAGTATTGCACTTAGAAACTTGATTTTGGTTTAAAACAATTGTATAAAACCACAATCAAGCTTTAAAGTGCAATACCTTGTGAAGAACTATTTTTTGTTAATATGTGAAAAAACTACATTGTTTGTTAAAAACTAAAACTAACGAACGACGCCCCCTTTTTCACCACCCCTTTTACACCTCTAAAATTAATCATCTTGGCAACTGGGCGTTGGTGAGCGTATTTTGTGGATTGGNTAAAACAATTGTATAAAACCACAATCAAGCTTTAAAGTGCAATACCTTGTGAAGAACTATTTTTTGTTGATATGTGAAAAAACTACATTGTTTGTTAAAAACTAAAACTAACGAACGACGCCCCCTTTTTCACCACCCCTTTTACACCTCTAAAATTAATCATCTTGGCAACTGGGCGTTGGTGAGCGTATTTTGTGGATTGGTGCCCAACTGGTTTTAAGGTAATTATCCATTCCTGAACTCAATTTTTAGCTAATTTAACTCGTTTCTCATTTTCTTTATCTAGGTCGGTATCAACTACCAGCCACCGACGGTCGTTCCTGGTGGAGACCTAGCCAAGGTGCAACGTGCCGTATGCATGTTGTCGAACACGACAGCAATTTGTAATTGAAAGGAGATCTGGTTAAGGTGCAATCAATTGTACTCATTTTTTGTTATTTCATAGCCGAGGCTTGGGCTCGTCTGAACCACAAATATGATTTGATGTACTCGAAACGAGCCTTTGTTCACTGGTACGTTGGTGAGGGCATGGAGGAGGGCGAGTTCAGCGAGGCTCGTGAGGATCTCGCCGCTTTGGAGAAGGACTATGAAGAGGTGGCCATTGAGAGCACTGGTAAATCCTAAGTATATTCTTTTGTTACAATCAAATGCTAACAATTTTACAATTAACAGAAGCTGATGCTGACGCTGGAGATGAGTACTAAAAACTCTTAAAACTGAATACCTATGCACTCACTAATGCACTTTATTGGACTCAATTGCGTTCTACTTATAACAACCACCACTACTGCACTGATAACTCACTGATTTGATATTGAATAATTTGAAACATAAAATTCTTATTCAATTTGTTAACTTTTCGATTCGTAGCCCAATGTGAAGCGCACTCAGCAGACGGCGCCAGAGTTTACGAGTGGCAATGACATGCAGCACTGGTGTCCCAGTCAACAGTGCACTGCTACATTGTAATTGTAGGCAATTCAAGAGGGGGGAATCGCTGCTGTTGTTGCAGCAAAAGTACTGTGCTTTTCTTTTCTTTGCGTCAAATTGACTGTCGTCTTTTGCCTGGAAAACTGTTTATGTGAGATCGTCAAAAGAGGGGACACCACTATCACCACTACTTTTACGTGCTTCACAGTAGTGCGCACTAAAGCAAACACACGTCGCAGCAGCAGTGCACTTTTTTCAGCGGATATTCAACTCGAAGAAGGCGTCACTAGTGCTGGCACCATATCCGTTCACCACTTTATTGCATGTCAAAGTTCGTTCATTTCTAGTCATGTCATATCATTTGCTTGGTAAACCAGGCATCATCACCTCTATAACCACCATTAGTACCAAAAGTGCCAAAATCAATCGTTTGCAGGATATACAAAAAAAAATTCGAATAGAAAAGAAATGCACGCGCATGTTCAGTGGGTCAGTAAATGGCGCGACGAGTTGGGTAAAGAGTGGCAATTGATCACAGTGCCGGCGAGGAGGGAGAAACAAAATGAAAAAAAGAGAAAGAGAGAGAGAGAAAGAGAGAGCATAGTAAGAAAGAGTCAGATCCTGAGCAGTGATCTCCCAGCCGTGAGATTCACTTCATTCAGCTGAAGAGTCTTACTGGGTGAAGGTCCTACGTTCTCTTGTGCACAGCGTTCAAAGGCAGACAGGCAGAGAGGCTCTGCTACCACCGACGCCAGTGTGTGTACTGCCACTACCTCGCCACCACTGGCACTGCTGCTGATGACTGACTGCGGTCAGAGCACTGCCACTACCATGCACTAACTGATACTGAGCACAGAGAGAATATAAGAGTATAAAAGGACGCCCGACCAGCGCCAGCAGACCGGCCAGATGGAGTTGATGATGCCCATACGGTTGGATGATGCTGCTGTTGTGTGCTGGCGCTTGGGGGCGGTGGTCATCACTGCCGCCACCATCGCTGACTGTCGGTAGATGGTGGTGTTGATAATGATAATGATGATTCGCTTTTGTGGCACTTTGGTGGTCGGTCACTGCAATCGACAGCAGCAGCAGTCTTTTCTCTCCTGACAGCTTCATCGAGTGTAAGTGCAGCAAGCAGACAGTGAAGGCTGTCGATGCACCTACGACAACACAACCAGATTGGCAACTGCAGAAAGCAATATTGCAGACAGAAGAGGCATCACCAACAACACCAGCACCACCACCAGCAGCACTACTACAGCCACCCCCAGCATCAACATTACTAGCAACAGCAGAAGAGTCAACCACGCTACACTAGTCGCTTCTGACTAAAAGATAACGTTGTTCGAAAATGACAATCCTGCCGTGGCTGCAACCTCAAACTAAGCAAGTGCAAGTCAACGTCTGCCCCCCAATGACTCTTCGCTGACTGTTGCTGTTCATCATCATCATCACCACTGCTGCCGCCACCATTTCTGTCTGCCCTTTGAGGACTTTCTCAGCAACATCCGAGCACACTCACTCACTCACTCACTCTTGAGCAGGCTTTATCTGGCAGTCAGAAGAATGGCGATGAGCAAAAGGTGAACCGTAATGAACAGCGAAGAACAAGTGCGCCAAGTGGTGGTGGTGCTAGCAGGGCTGCTGAAATGGCATTAGGTGCAGGGAAGAGAGCGCCGGTCGGCGGTGTGCGGTGTTTGCGAAGAAACGGATTAGATATTGTTGCCAACGACGATCTCCAAGAAGACAGTGAAGGCGCTTTAACAGTCGGCACTCACAGGCAGGCGAGTGCAGGGCGTCAACGAACACTGGGCGACACTGAGGCAACGGCAGATACATCGAAAGTAGTGTGCAGATGGCTGCCTGCCTCACTTGCCTTCCTGTCATGCTTGTTTTTCTCAGTTTGTCTGGTTGGCCATGTCTCTCTGTCTCTGTTTATGTGAGCCTCGGTGCCATGGCCGATTGAGTGCTGACTGAATGAGAGAGTAAGACAGAAGAAGAACGAAGGAAGAAAATAGGCTTTTCCAATAGGCATTACTTCTTAGGCCGATTATTAGTGCTGTATAATAATATGAAATGACAATATGATGTCATTAGAAGATATTGTTTGTCTATTATATAGATAGCAGACTGGTGATGCTAGTGCTAAGACAGTTAATAGTCCTGCTAATATGGAGAAACATTGGACAATTTTAAATTTACTTTTAGGTAAAAGTTGCAAAGATGAGTTAAAAACTGAGATAAAAATTTTAAAATTAAAACATTTAAATGCTGCTAACGTGTGTTTTCAGCCAACAAGTGGCAACTTGAAGCAGTTTTGCATCGTCACTTCCTGTACAGCCGTTCTACGAGGTCTATGTCATTGATTTTTGTGGCTATTTGTATACGCCACTACTGCTAATAATTTAACTACAATGACTAAAACTTTAGTTTATTTGTACCACTTTTTCCTCTCGGTGATGTCGCTTTTGTTGTACAAATTGTTTGTAAAGTTAATGTTGCATGTTTTAAAGTGAAAGTGCAATTTTGTGTGTGTTTGTAGAGGGCAAACGCAGTTTACTCATACTCAATTGATGGGAAAGGAAAATCCTTTGCGTGGTGGTCTGTACAGCAAGTGTCAACTTTCTTTCTGTTATCGAAATACGCATACTTCGATTGTCGCCCATTTCTGATCACACAATGTGGCGCCAAGTGTTCGTGTGCGTGTGTGATGCAGGGCAGCAGCAGCACTGCATCATCATCACCCTCCACAACAACGGCACTGGCACTTCTGGTTCTTCGATCTTTCGGCGGAACAGTTAGCGTCGCAATAGGCAAAAGGCAGACCCCTGCCTTGTGCCTTGCTGTCTGCGTTGTAGAAATGCGGCTGTCCTCAAGCTTTGGGCATTATAGTCGTACCGTCATTATCGCCATCTTGTATGTTGTGTACTCATTTACTGATGGCAATCCTGTTCGGATGCGCCTACATCTAAACTGCATCGCTTTCTTTTCCTTTCAGTAACTGCCTAAATGTCAACAAGAACACTTTGGGCCATCGTTTTTCTTCTACTTTTTAGCAGTGCACTTCATCTTTTCCTGCCCCCTCTGCTGTTGTTGGCCTTATTATCAGCATCTCCAGTAGCAGCCGAGCATTTGCTCTCTCAGTGCATCATCTTGCGGTCAGAGATAGGAGAACCGAGGGAAAGGGAAGCAGTTGTCTGGGTGGCCAGGCGGAAGTCAGTGCGGCCAGTTTCTAGCAAGAAACAACTGGTGCTGATGCAGGTTTAGCAAAATCCAAAGAAAGTGTAGGGCACGGGTTTTCCAGCATCACTGGTGGGCCACGTTTCAGTGCACTAAAGTGGCCATACGTAGTAGTACAATAGTAGTAGGCAAAAGGCTGCCTCTCTTTGCTTTCTCTCTTTCTGTTTCTAAACTGCCTTTCACTGACGCCTATCACACAAACAGTTGAGCATTGGCTCCACATGAACGCGACACTAGACACTAGGGGGACAAACCAAAATTCAAAAGCATCGCACAGAACATTTTTCTTTTTTTCTTTTCTTTTCACTGTACTGAACGTGAGCTAGCTAGAAGAGTCGGCAGTGACGGAGACGATGGTGGTGGTAGTGGTGACGGTAGCGAAAAGATTGGCTGTGCACAGCTCTCATGATCACTTCTCGGCCGCTTTTTCTTCTTCTTCAGCAGCTGCTCTCGTCTCTCTGATGATCTTGCACGCCATCCTTCCTCCGAATTGAGCATATTAGCTGTTTAGCTTTAGCCCCTGCACACATTGGCAATTGGTAAAGTGTTGAGTAGTAGTACTGGAAGCGAGAAAGAGCAACTAAGAGAAGCTTCAGCTGACGAGGGGACAGTCACCACCACCACAACAGTGCACTTTTGAAGAGCTCACATTCTCTCCTGCCTCACCGTTTGTGGCCGCATCCTCAACATTCTCATTCACATAGGCTGGCAGACAGACAGTACCACCGACGCCGTTGTAAGGCATTTGCTGTCTTTTTGAAAAGTCGTTCTCTTTGCATTTGCCCTACTCACTAGCCATCTTTCCTGTTCTCAATATCACCTTGGCCTTGTCTGTCAGGCAATCTGCACTTGCTCACTTCTATTCTGGTTCATCGTCATTGCCACAAAAGTTCGAAGTATTCCAGGTAAGCTAAGTGCGCTCACACAAAAATTTACCGTTTAAACTGCCACGCCTGATGATGTTCAGAACTGTTCGAGCATCCGGTGCTTTTAACGGAATCAAACATCAGTGACACCGCTGAGAGCGTTTCACCAGGACCATACCGGCCACCAGTGAGCAGATTTTCAGCACCAAACTGTGCCAGGCATCTAGGCACTGGGGAGCTGTTTAGCAGCAGCCAATTGAATCATGAATTTCATTTGTAAAAGCTGTTCACTTGCAGACAAACACACACACACATAGGCAGGCAATAGAGAAAGATAGAGAAAGAGGGAAATGAGGAGGCAAGTGGTATTAGTTCANCATCCGGTGCTTTTAACGGAATCAAACATCAGTGACACCGCTGAGAGCGTTTCACCAGGAACATACCGGCCACCAGTGAGCAGATTTTCAGCACCAAACTGTGCCAGGCATCTAGGCACTGGGGAGCTGTTTAGCAGCAGCCAATTGAATCATGAATTTCATTTGTAAAAGCTGTTCACTTGCAGACAAACACACACACATAGGCAGGCAATAGAGAAAGATAGAGAAAGAGGGAAATGAGGAGGCAAGTGGTATTAGTTCGGCAACCACAGGCGACGGGCAGTGGCACTG